CCGCAGTCAGGGATATCCTACGTGGCGAAGTCGCGCGCGTATCAGCATTCCTAGCTAGTTGGCTCATGGCATATTCCATCTAAATCAGTTAGATCATGGCAGCCCGTTCATCTCCGTCTCAGGACACTTGTCAACCGCGGAGCCTCCCTCCTCCTTCCTTTTTTCTTCCTCCTTCCTTCTTTTCCTTCTCTCCTTCTCTCTTCCCTCCTCCTTTTCCTTCTCCCTTCAACTGCTGGACCAGTAGATGGGATGAAAAATACCTCTGGCCCCTCGTAGCGAGAACATGTCCGGTTGACACGAGTCCTGTAACCGTTCATCTCAGGGCCTTATCCAAAAATCAAAAATCTGTTAACCGTTTTTCTTCCCACGATTTGACGCTAGAGATATATCGAGTCAACTAGTTGGGAATGCTCGTTACTACTTCGCGATGTCGCACCTTGGATGTTGAACTACACCCAAATATTAAATAAAAGAAAATAGGAGTAGGAGAACGCATGCCAACGGACTAGGCGAGAATTGATCACTTGCAATTCTCCTACTCCTCAGTCAGGTACATCTCAGCCCTAGGGAAAATTTCTGCTAGATAAGAGCTATCCACATTTTCTCCTCCGGTGCGACCCTCTCCACAACCGACCAATCACCTTACTAAACTTGCTCAAAAAACTTGCCGTTCAAAGGGGGAAGGCACCTATGATAATTATCAGCTATAGCGCTGCCGCCATTCAGGGGAAGAGGAGTAGTGTACAAAAGGAAAGAACAATATGAGAAGAAGTCGATGGGTGCCTCTCATACAGCGACCAAATACGATCCCCGTGTGGCTACCCAGCGTACATGTCCTGCTGCGTTCCGCCACGGGTGGACGCTCGCAAGGTGTGAACGTAGCCCCGCTACGGCTGCGTTTGTACTGGGAGCGTCCACCAGCGACTATCAGCGTTTCGAGCGACGTTTACCACCGTTACCACCGTCAACGTTTACCACCGTCCACTAGCGACCATCAACTTCTCTAGGAACTAGGAAAGTAGGGATACCTATCTAGCGTCTACAGCGTCTACCAGCGACCAGTAGTAGAGAGTATAGTGAAGTAACTGGGCGGTGGACTGCATTCAGAGTAAGAGGAAGTACAAGGTAGCAAACAGCTGTATTAGGGGTCATAAAATTGCGGCGTGTGCAACCACACCGTACTACTACACAATAACGTACTGTCGCTGGCGCAAGCTGGTGGACGCTGCCGTTCGCTAGATTGACATCTATACTTTTTAGTCATTGACGCTGACGGACGCTCGAAACGCTTAATGATCGCTGCCACAAAATATGAACGCAGCCCAAAGGAGGGGGGGGGGAGAGGGAAGAATGAATCGATTCCCATCTAGGGGTTTGGAGAATATTCTCTTAGTCTCTCGATTGGTCACATCGATACATATGATTTCCCCAACAATTTGTTATTAAACAGTGTAGCAAATTAGTAACGCGGCCATACAGGGAGGAGGTGAACCACTAACACTCCTGCGTTTCGGGTCACTTTTCGCAATGTCTTAGTCGTCATCGTTGATCCATCATTCGCCACTCTTGCGCATACGCTTCTCGTCATCATTTCTAAGAGTGGTAGTCATCTTAAAACAAACTGTCGTTCAATCCAAATGTAGAGGCATTTTCGACATTTCTCTATGAAAGCAACTGAAGACACCTTGAACTGGATAAACTTAGTCGATCGCCTGGCTGATTGTTGACATGCAGTGTAAAAATAACACAAAAAAGTAACCTTCAATAGATTCCAGTTCTTCGATAGCCTTTCCTTGCCAATATTTCACCACTGCCAGATGAAGGCTTCTCTTAAAAAGAATTCAACGTTATCAAGAAACAAGCAGTCTGTACTCTGCAGAACATGCAATTTGTAACATACAGTACCAGAACTGATTCGTCCCCGTTGTTCTGCCCAAGAAGTTTTTCCAGTTCAATCATTGTGTTCTTCAATTCTTTCTGCTTTCGGTACCGAGCTATCTTTCGCTCTCGTAGCTCCTCCCCCGTGAACTTCTTTATTCCAACGGGAGGCATCATGCACTTTCTCTCTGAAGATCATAAGTAGTCGCATTGACATGAAAAAAAAACAGTGGAAAACAGGACTTTCGACGCCTAATCACGCTTCTAACACACTCATTAAAGACCTCTAAGGCAGTGTTCATACATTTAGCACTGAGGAGACTAAGACCTGTCTGAGAAACTAAGCGATTGAGGACTGCTACGAAGAGCATAGTATCGATCCGGTGACTGGGATGTAGCAGCGAGTTCACCGGTGAAGCGAAAACTCGGGTTTCCGCGTTTCGCGCCGAAAAGTTGGAATGGGTTTTGATTGTCGCTGGTTTGACTAGCAACGTGCCGGAGATCTCGGCGACACGCGATCCGGCGATTTGAGAGGTTTGACCATCTGGCGTCTTGAGGCAGATCACCAACTCTACCACCCGAATCATGCCCTCACTCCGCCGAAGATGAACCAAAGCTAAGCCACATATCATATGATGGTATGGCGCTCCGGACCACTTCATAAGAAAATCGCCTTCCCCTATCACCTTAACGTGTCAAGTCGACACCCAAACAATGGAAAGTACTGAGGCCCTCTCTCAGCACTGACATACCTCAGACTTCGCTGCATCCGAGTACTGTTAACTTTGCGATGCAACCTGCGGCATGGGCAAGAATGCTTAACAACCAAAAGCATGTCAAAGTCGAACTGATGTCCTAATTTGCGTAAAAAAAAGCCTAGATTGTGAAGCAACTACATCCGTAAGATGACCAAAAGCAGGCAAGGACTCCGTAATAACAAGTGGTGGATGTTTGATAGCATAATTCCAAAGAATATGACAAAACTTTCCAGCCAACCTGGTGTGTAGCAATCAGTAAAGAGAAAGGCTAAAATGATCAATCGATCAATTGAATTCATAATAAAAGGTGCTTCACAACCTGTGGCACTCTGTATCACCATTGGAACAAAACTTTAGAAATTACCTGGTCCTTCCTGAGCAAGAAGAGAAGTCACGTTCGAATTCGAAGCCATAACTGCGAAGCCTTTTCAAGAAATCGCGGTAATAAACCTTAAAGCAAAACGTAATAATGAACTTAAACGAAGAAACTGAAGGAGCCTCATGTAGCACTTTTTCAAGTTTCAGAGAAGCAGACACTGTTCTAACACAAAGAGAAATAGAAAGCCAATAGTTAGAATAAGCAAACAAACCTTGGCTAGTTGCAACTGATCGGCGCGATGACTAGGCTCTGTTGTGGTGTTGTGATGAGCGACACCAAGGTAGCAGGGTATTAGAAGAAACGGAATAGAAGATGTCGGCATATCTTCTACCTGAACGCAATGCTGACTTATTAAAACGTTCGCTGACACTCGTACCAATGTCTGGTGGCTACTTCGGCATCGACAAGCATGTTGAGGATTCCTCAACGCGGAGGAGGGGAGTCGTGTGAAGCCTGATGAAAAAACTTTCGTTGATTGCGTCCCCTCTTTACTAAACAGTGTCGTCAGTTTTACTATTTATTATGGCGGATCAGACGCCATATTTTTACTCTTGCTTTTCCTCTAAGGCTGCATTAATACTTTGCCTCAGCGTATGCCAGCATTTTGAGCGTTTCGGGCGAACGTCAGCGACCGGAAGTGTATAGGTATCGATCTAGCGTACGCCAGCGTACAGCAGCGTTCCCGAGCGAAAGCAGAGTTTTGCTCAAGCTTAAACTGCCCGCGGAAACGCCGGCGTACGTCGACATACGCTGGTAGACGCTGGATCTCAAGACGGCAACTCAGACGGAACACCCCGAGATGCTTTTCTTGATCACCAATACATACAATACATGTTAATGTTCTCTCAGACCATGAACTAGCAGATACTCAATCCTCACACCCCCTCACCTCCATCCTCTCCTTAACATGTTCTTACCTCTTCATTGTCGGAAAACAAGCCAAGTGCAGACACGGCACGAGTGAGGTTCTCAAAGGATGTTACAGTCTGAGATTGCCGAGTCTAAATGAACAGTTTTTCTATTACGTCAAATAGTTTACTCATCTATCACAGCCTGCGCTCGAGACTCTAAATTCAACCTATTTGTCTCTTGCTTTAACTAATGGGTAATGTAACTCTAGATAGAGCTAGGGTTTGTGAGTTAGCCGTAACACTGAGGCTGCATTCATACTTTGCGACGGGAGGGCAGGTGAATCGGCTATTTGACGCTTTTAGGATACACCGCTCTCACCGGCTGTCGAATCACCCATTATTCTATAACTTCCTGCTGGCAAATAAATGAACGCAGCATGAGCACTGTTGAACAAGTCTGCACTTGCAAATGTCTGAGCATGCCGCGAAAGTGTTGGATGATTGACCGACATACAGACATCGCGATCCCACAAGGGACGATTTCACAACCCACATTCTGCCTGGAGGTGCGGCCGGCGGGCCCTATTACGTAAAGGGTAAGCCAATCAACGAAACGCGTGTGCGGTCGCCGAGCCCCTCGATCGATAACATATCAAACCCGTTCCGCGGATGCGATTTTTCGCTGTTTCGTCACGTAGGCGATGAAAATACGCAGAAATGAGACCTATTGCAACGTTACCAGTCACAGCTGACAAACAGACAAAATACTTGCACAATTCCCCAGGATAAGCAACAAACCTGTAACTCAGTAGCAGAAAACCGACCACTCCCAATATCATTTATAACATTTTCTGCCTTTTTAAACTGTACACTGAGAGTCTCTTCATCATCAAAGTCGCCATGAGACTTACTTTCCGACATCTAAAATCTGCGTAATAATGAATAACAATAAAACCAACCACACATAATCGTTACGCATTACGCATTATATCATTTAGATGATTCAAGGTCCCCTTTATGCTGAGTTCTGGAAGCTGTTTGATGAGCAAGGGAGCAAGATCGATATGATTTTCGAAATTCGACCGCAGAAGTTGCACTGTAATATAAGTGCCCAAGAATTTGAATGGTGAATTCGTTGAGCAATAGCCCAAGTTGGGCGTCTCATCCATTTTATGGTCTGTTCGCTGCGGATGATGGAGCGTGTTTGCGTAGCTGCATTTGGCGGGCTGCCAAAACCGTTTTCCACCACTTGTTGAAGCGGGTAAGTGACAACAATTGGTGGGGACTGATACGAACGACATGATACAGTCTCATCTATTGAAAGAAAAAATGGGTCAGCGCCGGGCCAAACGCAGTCGCGATGACACGCCCCATCATCCGCAGCGAACAACACCATAGTAAATAGTCGCAGGAGCTTCTCCCCC